CCCCGAGCCTCGGAAAACGTCAGCTTCCACGAATAGCCAATAGCCAGAGAGTGGCAATCATGCCCAGAGCACAAGACAAGTAGAGGGGTAGAGACTAACAAGGGGAAGGGCAGAGCCGAGAAATTCCATAAAGACATGGCCGGCTTTTTGGAACCCTCTCCCAGCTATGGCCGGCTTTTCGAAACCCCCTCCCAGCTATAGCCGGCTCTTCAGAAAACCTCCTCCCTCCGACAGGATGTTCCTTTCCCCTGCATCGCCTCTATACTCCCCAGCTATGGCAGGGTCTTTAGAACCACTTCCCAGCCATGGCGGGCTCTTCGGACCCCCTCCCAGCTATGGCAAATTCTTCAGAACCTCCTCCCGCGGCACGCAGTTTTTTTCCCCTGCATCGCCTCTCCCCCCCCGCGCCCCCCCCTGAAGAAGGGGATAGATCATCGAGAGGGAAACAGGAATCGCTGGATCTGCATCTTGAGCGGGAGGGAATCGCTGGATCTCTTCCTTGGGTCAACGGAACGGAAATCGATCGTTGGATCTGCTTCTTCGAACGGAAATGTGAATCGCTGGATCTGCATCTTGAGCGGGAGGGAATCGCTGGATCTCTTCCTTGGGTCAACGGAACGGGCATCGATCGTTGGATCTGCTTCTTCGAACGGAAATGTGAATCGCTGGATTTGCATCTTGAGAGCGGAGGGAATCGCTGGATCTGCATCTTGAGAGCGGAGGGAATCGCTGGATCTGCATCTTGACAGGGGAGGGAATCGCTGGATCTGCATCTTGAGAGGGGAGGGAATCGCTGGATCTCTTCCGCTGATGAACAGAGGAAACGGAATCGATCGTTAGATCTGCTGCTTGTAACGGAAATGTGAATCGCTGGACCTCCTCAGAAGGGAAACGGAACGGAACGGAGACGGGAATCAATCGATGTATCTGCTTCTTGGAACGGAAAGCCCTCCATGATGATGCATGCTCCCGCTTCTTCCTCAAGCCAACCCACCGCGATAGACGACCCACACGAACCACGGTTAAGCCTACATACAGACCATCCCTCGCCAACTTCACAGAGCCAGCATCTGTCTACTATATTATATTATCAGTATTTATCGCTCGTAATTTCTGTGAAAATTCACAGAAATTTCTTTGGCTTTTTTTCGAGCCTTCGGAAAAAAACAAAAAAAAACAATTCTTTTCGTTTCTGAGTTTTTTTTGTTTGCCTTTTGCTGCTTTTGGAACAGAAAAATGGGAATCATTAGGAGATCGGCTTCTTGGGCGGGAAAGGGGGCTCGCTGGGTCTGCTTTCTCCTTCTCGATAAAAGATCGGCCTCCACTCGTGTGATGACATAACCATAGAAGATCAGCAAAAAAATTCGAATCCACATGATTTTTCCTACGTGTTCACGTGTTATAAAAATACTCCAGAAATACGACAAACAAAATACACATATAGACCGACAATCTATGTATCGTCATAGAGAACTGCCCGGTGAACGATAGGCAGCGAGGGAGAAGAGAGGACAACAAACGAGGGGCTGTGAGAGACTTGTTTCGTCGTGAGTCGTGACAAAATACATCGAACATACAACAACATACACTACATTATCATTCAATACAAGAAGGATGTAAGAACAGCCCTGTGAACCCTAGGTAGGAATGAAGGGAGGAAGGAAGGAAGGAAGGAAGGAAGGAGACAGAAAACGTGAACTGTGAAAGATTTTCGTTGAACTCACCTAGAATCGTCAGAAAGCTGAATTATAGCAATGAAACTGGGCAATGTGTATGTGTGTATATACCTTAGTTCGTTTCCTTTTCTTGTTTTGTGTTTTTCCGCCTTAGCGCTCCGATTCACAGTGTGACAACATATCGTCACAAATAATATATATATTGTCACAATATTGTCACACTGTGAATCAGAGCGCGAAGGCGAAAAAAAAAAAAAAACAAGGAGAGGAAAAGAAGGAAGGAAGGAAAGCCCCACCTGTTCATCACCTCTTACGTACAAGGCCAGCCACGTGGATCGTCACAAAGTTATCAGAGCGCCAAAGCGAAAAAAAAAAAAAAAAAAAGGAAACAAAAAAAGATATCAATTCATTTTTCGTCTGCTTACTTACAACTCCCCCTGTTTTCAAAACCTCATCAACATCTGTACAGGACTATGTGCATAATAGGGCGTTACCAAAGAGTTCACTGTCAAAATTATACGCGCATATGCACCGTATTGTCACAAAGAATCGCCCGACAAACTGTTGACCTAAAAGGAGAGAGAGGAGAAAAGAGGGAGAGAGGTAGACACCGAGGTAGGATCGTGGGAGTAGGGGTGCGCAGGGAAGAAATTACGACAGTGGAAGGTTGGGATGGAGTCTCATAGGAGTGAAAGGCCTCTATAGAGCATCTGGATGACCACATGGCCGATTGCCGAAGGTGACAGACATATGTCTAGAAACCCAACATTTACAACAACCTGGGCTTAGACAAAAAAAAAAAAAAAGAGAGAGAGAGAGAGAACTACGGCGCAGGCAGAGGGTTTTGAGTTTTTTTGAAAATGCACTTCAGGCAAAAGGCCTGAAAATGCCGAATGTATACAAGAAGCTAGGTTTCGGGTCCTACGCCGCTCGAATACACGACTAATACACTCTACTCTACTGTTGCCGTATAACACAACACAACAGAGGCCTTGTGGCGGACTTCCGTGCACCACAAGCCTGTCTTAGCTCCCATCTCCACGCCCACGTGGTGCACTCGCGGACGAGGGGAGAACCGCGGGGAGGGGGGGGATCGGGAGGCAAGGAGGGGAAGGGAGGGGGACGAGCTAGGGAACGAGGGGGGGAAACCG